AAACAGACGTTGAAAAACAAAAATAATTTAACGTTTACAGCGACGCAGACTTTAGCAGCAAAGTTGTTAAAACAAAAGACAAAATTTTAAGCAAAAAAAATCAACGAGAATACATTTCCCAAAAAAAAACACAATATTTAATTCACTCTCTGTTTTATTTTGTCACTTTTTATGGTTGTTTTTGTTGTTGTGTATTTGAAGTTTGCACAGTCATAAATTTAATACAAGTTTCTTTCTTTCTTTGTATACAAATAACAAGTCAACAACATAAAGGCGAATGAACGCTGACAGCCAACAAACCGAATGAATTTGTTTTTTTTTTGCTCTTTTTTATAAATAAACAATGCGTATGGCAAAGTCAGAGAAGAAAAAATTGAGTTTACAAACAATTACAGAAAAACGAAACGAAGCAAATAAAACGAAAATTTATAAATTTTAACATGGTTTATTTGTAAGACATTAGTTTTTTGCACAGATATAGAGAATACTGGATGAATATACACCAGTAACAAAAACAAAGGAAATTTTGTAAAAATTTACAAGAATATTTGCATTTATTTAGAATCAGACGATCGGTGTTTAGTTAAATTTATCAAGTGTTGTTTTAACTTTTTGTTCTTTATAGTGCAATGACTTTTTGTTTTTACAGACGATTAAAGTCAAAGATGTTGAAAATTATACAAAATGCTCATTTTTGTTTTTGTAATACGAATTACTTTACTTTTTCTTTACGCACTTACAACTCTTGTACACTGTCGGTAGCAGTAAGTATTATTAGAAATTTTAGCAGGGAGTTTACAACATGGCTGTTCTAACACCAGCTTCTTTTTTACAAAATTTCTCTGCCAGCAGCAGCAGCAGTTGTTTGATTTTCTTTTTACTTTCAAAAGAACAGCTGCTTTTCTTCAACTTCAAGTATTCTTCACACACAATCGCACGCACCAAGTGTTTTTTCTTGAATTCCCTTTTCTTCTCTGGTTTTATTTATATTTTTCTTTGTTACGTTTTGTTCATGATTTTCGTTGTTATTGTTATTATTTCTCATCTGTTTTTAATATGCGAAATTCGCCTTACAATTTTTTTTATTTTTTTTTCAGCTCTTCAATTCGCCTTGACAATTTAGATTCGCCTTGAAAAAAATATTTTTTGCTCTTCTTTTTTCACTTGATTTTTTTTTTTTTGTATTAAAGAAAAAATTTTTCTTCCTATTTTTCACACCAAAATAATGAAAAATTTATATGAACTCTTAAAAGAAATGAGATTTTGTATATATAACATCTTAATTAACGAAATTTACATTAATTTTTACTGTAATTCTTGTATTTGATCTTTATTATTTTTCTTATACCTGGTCGTTTTTGGTTAAAAAAATTCAACGACCTTAAAGACCAAATTTTTCATAACTGTATATTTTCTTAAAATTCACATTTTCTCGTTTAAATTTCATTCAATTCTAATAAACACTATTGTCTGGTAGATGGTTAATATAGTTTTAATTAATAATTTTTGAAATTTCCTATAAAAATTGCAAATTTTCCGTCGCGTCGTAGGGAGCTTATAAAAATTTTTCTTTGTCGATTTATTCACTCACACATCAGCGAAAATTATTTTCTTCTTTTGTGTCTTTTCGCCTTGAAAGCGAATAAAATAAAAATATGACAGGGTGTTTTATAATGTTATTAGTTTTGAGGGAGGGTTGTGTTTTCCTGTTGTTGTTTTGATGATTTTTTTTCGAAGAATTTGTTTAGTGTTTAGATAATGAATGATGAAAGTTAATAAAGTATTGTAATAAAACTTAATTTTATAAGGTTTTTTATTTTTTAATATGAAAAATTGTTTGTTTTTTAAAATTTTTGCTACCGGGTGTTATGAAAATGTATTTACCTATACGGCGAAATTTTAAATTAACCCGTTACTTGATGCTGAAATTTAAGAGTGTTGACAAAACATTAAAAATATTTACTAAAATATTGTTACTATTTCCATTTGTAGGAGAATTTTAGAAAGTTTCAATTAGAATGTATGAAAATAATAAAAAGATAATTAATAGCAATTATCTAAAAATTTTAGAAATTTTGTCGCTAAATTTGAAATTTGCAAAAGCAAGACTTTTCGGATGGAAAAATTGTGGATACATTTAAATTCTAATGATTTTAATATATATATTTTTTTTTTTTTGAAAAAAATATATGAAGAATTTTATTATATTAAACAAAATTGTTTTAAATTGACAAAATAAATTTTATACAATAATATAAAAATATTTTAAACTTTTATGAAGTTTTTAATAAGTTTTTTTTTTAATTGCATTATTTTTCAATTAAATAAATTTACAAATTTTTTTTTTTTTCATTTTCGAAAACTTTTGAATAAAATCAACTAATATTACAATAGCAGGTTAGACCTGGTCCACACTAGGAAACTCTTGTTGTTGTACGAAGGAGAAGAATAACAAAACAAGTTTCCGAGTACGGGAAACAGTGTTGCCAACTTAGTGCTTTTAGCACTATTTGCGGTGCTTTTTGGTGTGCCAAACGCGGAAAATTTTGCTCATGGTGCCTTTTTTCAAAAAGGCACTACAGTGGTGCTTTCTAATTTTATGACAGTGCATTTAGTGCTTTTTATACCCACCATCAAAAAAGATGAGTGGGGTATATTAATTTTGTCACTCCGTTTGTAACACATCGAAATATTGGTCGTAGACCCACAAAAGTATATATATTTTGGGTCCTTATTAAATTCTAAGGCGATCTAACCATGTCCATCCGTCTGTCTGTTGAAAGCACGATAGGGTTAGAACGGAAAGAGCAAGCGAGTTAAATTTTTCCACAAATATTTCACAAGCTTTAACAGTCACAACTGTTTTAAACAAACGAGTATAGCGATAAAATTTGGCATAAATAAGTTTTATATGCGTCAAAATCTCTGTACCAAATTTTATGGGAATCGGTCCAAAATTGACGCTACCCCCCATACGAGTATAGCAATGAAATTCAACATAAGTAAGTTTTATATAAGCCAAAATCTCTACTAAATTTTATAGAAATTCGTCTATAATTGATCCTACCCCCCATATAAGGTCTCCTTCAGAAAATGATTTAAACGGTCATTACTGACTTAAAAATACGAGTATAGCGATGAAATACGAAATAAACAACTTATGTACAAACGTAATCTTCCTACCGAATTTAATTCGGATTTGTCTGTAACCTATCCTACCCCCTATTAAGGTCCCCTTAAAAATATGAGTACAGCGATGAAAATTGACAAAAAATAAGTTTTATACAATTTTTTTACACAATTGAACCTATCCCTCATATATAAAGCCTTCATCGTTGTACTCGCAATAAAAAGATTTTTATTATAATTCTTTATTCAGAATTTTATAACGATTGGTCTATAACTGACCAACAAAACAAAATCTATGTACAAAATTTTATGGGTATCGATATATAATTGTCGCAACCCCATATAAGTTCCTCTTTAGATAATAACTTTTACGCTTATGACTGAATTAAAAATTCGAGAACAGCAATGAAATTCGAAACGAATAAGTGTTATACGAAATCTTTCTACCAAATTTTACGACAAACAGTTCATAATTGACACTACCTCTGATATATGTTCATTGTTAAAAAATTGTTTTTAAAAATTAATATTTTGTTAATTCGAAGATCACGTACATAATTGAATTAAGCCCTATCTCCCTGATGTTTACAGAGGAGCATTCCCTTTACGGCATAAGATTTGATGGTGGGTATATAAGATTCGGCACAGCCGAATATAACACTCTTATTTGTTAAAATATTTTAAAATATTTGTGAATTTCAGGAGGTAATTTATTTAATTAATATTAAACATTTTCTCTATAATGTTAAGAAAACTGAGGGATCATTCTTTGATCTTTCTATTTATACCACTTTTTGTTGTTTATTAGAATACGATCAGTTTAATAGTTTACACTAAGGACTAAATTTTTCTTAAAAACTGTTTTAATTTTTTTTACACGGGTACTCCAAAGTTTTTTTTATTTGTGTTAAGTTTAAAAAGCAAATATTCTTCAAAAACAAAAAACAAAAGATATTCAAAATACGTTAAAATAAGTTATGTTATTCACTATCAGTGAAATTAAAAATAATATATATAGATTTTGCAAAAAAAAAAATATATATTTCATAAGTTTTGTACAATTTTACAATTTGGGTGTGGGTACATCGGTTGGCCAGTTGGTAGTGTGCCTGTCAGTTTGAATGTTTAATGACATTTTACTATTTTTAAAATAACTTTTAAACAAATTAAGGAATTTGAAAAATTCTCATCTTATTTATCTAATATTCGTCAAACATTAGTTTTAGTTCTTACGTTACTAAAAATCTAACTCACACAGATGAAAGACTTCAGTATGACGCATGTTTTGTTTTGTAGCCCAATGTTCTAAAAAACGAATTTTGGAGTCTTGTAGGAAATGAGCGAAATAATGTGCAATTTTTATTAAAATAAACAATATTTGACTAAAAAAACGCTAGTGCTTTTTTACCCATTTTCAGTTAGAAAATTACGCTTTTTTACTCCTTTTTAATTTTTTTGCTCGCGTTTTGCTTGACCAATGTTGGCAACACTGACGGGAAACTCCGTACCGCGAGAGAGATGAATGATATTCATTCTCTTTCTCTCTCACGCAAAATCAAAAGTTTCTCAAAAAAAGTTTCCTAGTGTGGACCGGCAGTTAGTTGTCTAAATACAGAAAAGGAAAACAATTAATTTTTTAGCATTTTATAACTATTTAATTTTTTTGTTATTTTTTATGTATTTTAATTTATTATTTTTAATACAAATTTTAAATATATTAAATTATTAAACTAATATTTATTATACTCTTTTATTATTAATAATAATTCTTTTTTGAATTAAATTAATTTTCTAAATAATTTTCTTGTACAATCGAAAACATTCGTTTCTTACAATACAACTCTGCTCTAATTACAGCAGACTAGCAGCGTGTAAACACGGCCATTCAAGTACATTTGACATGTGCTGCAAAAATGACATTCTAGCAGTTTTGACACTTTTGACAGCCGAAAACTGCTAGACTTTCTTTTTCAATATCCGGTTCACGCAATTGGATTGTATTTTAATAAAGGTCTTGAAATTTTTTTAATTTTTATAGAAAATTTGTGAATTTTGTTAAAAAAGTGTAATGAAATTGTGTAAAGAATCGATTAAACTAAATGAGAAAATAAAAAGTGTAAAAAATTTAAGCTAAAAAACAAAGATGTCGAAGGAAGATATGAAAGTGTTGGAAAAAAATGACAAGTTGTGAAGTTTACAAGAGGATGTAAACATTAGATAAAAAATGTGTGCAAAACATAAAAAGAAACAAAATTCACAAATTTAATCATTAAAAATGTGTATGCTTAAAGAAACAAGCGAAATGTGTTAATGAAAGATTGTTTATTTATTGTTGTTGTTGTTTTGTTCCTCCCCTGCAGTTAAAACACAATGGCTCCCAGAAAGGCTAAAGCTCAAAAAGAAGAAGTCCAAGTTTCTTTGGGCCCCCAAGTACGTGATGGTGAATTCGTTTTCGGTGTTGCTCACATCTATGCCAGTTTCAACGATACCTTCGTCCATGTTACCGATTTGTCTGGCCGTGAAACCATTGCCCGTGTCACTGGTGGCATGAAGGTAAAGGCCGATCGTGATGAAGCTTCTCCCTACGCCGCTATGTTGGCTGCTCAAGTAAGTCTGACTTATTTCATGAATTATTAGAAAAAAAAAAAGATTTTACTAACTCTTGTTTTTGTTTTTTAGGATGTTGCTGAAAAGTGCAAAACTTTGGGCATCACTGCCTTGCACATCAAATTGCGTGCTACCGGTGGTAACAAGACTAAGACCCCTGGACCCGGTGCCCAATCTGCTCTCCGTGCTTTGGCCCGTTCTTCCATGAAGATTGGCCGCATTGAAGATGTTACTCCCATTCCCTCCGATTCTACCCGCAGAAAGGGTGGTCGTCGTGGTCGCCGTTTGTAAACATTTTACTTTTTCATTTATCGAAAAAGTTTTGTTTATATGGAATGTGGATGTGTTTTGTTTTATATTGTTCTCTTGGGAGCAATGGAGACAAACAAGTTTTATTAATATTTTTTTAATAAGTGAACGTGAATAAAATTATAAATCCTAAAAAAAAACAACAAAAGATGAACAA